CTCGTTTTTATCGTGCTTTCACTTTAACATGAACCTAAATTTTACATTACCCAATCTCAATTCGGAATTTCTGTGACCTGTCATTCTCCATAGTATGCAATATGCTATTGGTTCTACAGACATCGTTGAAGTAACTATTTAGCGTAACTATTTATAACTATTTAGCGCTGAGGAAGAATTACCAAGACGAGGAAAGTGGCGGAACAGGTGGTGTGCTGAACTGCTGATTGTTCCAGCATAGCAGGACACATACCTATTCTCGATGGATGCTTTGCGCTTTCTGTGTGAATACAATTTTTGACGTAGAAAGTCATAATTTGGGTGACAATAATTTCCAAGGACAAATACAACGACAAACTCGCTTCGCAGTTTGATTACACACTATTTGATTAAAACATTACAGAAAATCGCCTAAACAGAATAATTCACGAAATCCATGCTCATGGCGATGACTACCTTTAAAATGCAGACAAAAGCAGTCCTTTCACACAATCTTTTCACTTAAGCCAACGCCTTAGTGATTTTTGACTTGGATTTCTCTTAGAAACTCTTCTGAAATATACTTAGGTCTGCGATAGCATGAATAGTTATTAATAAAAGGAATTAATTTGCTGCAAAGGAAATTGATCATAAACTTCAAAAATTGTTTCAGAAATAAATTAAACCAACATACTTTTTTCTTTCACTCTACCTTAATACTCTACATTTTTAAAAATTTTCCGACGTTTTCTATTGATCGACTACAATTAAGTGGGTGATTCAAGACAACATCAACATCTTTATTTCCACAAAACCTATTCATGCTTGAACTTACCGGTTGGTGATTTACATGATATATTGATCCATCCGCAAACGATCAAGATCCAATGAAAAGATTGAGAATTATTGTAACTGGTCTCCCACAGCGACGATGACTTAACTGCTATGAAAGTTGTTTTTGACCTCACCAACATTCATATGAACATTCACATAAACTGTCGCCATTATTTAAAGGACTACAAGTGGTTCGTTCTGTCATTCACACGCATCGCTTATCTTATATTTACTGGTTAGAACAGCATGTATATATACAACTGCATTGCCTGTTAGTTGTGCGACAACATTCACAACGAAACAAAGGACTCAGTTCCCCCCAAATTTGCATACTCCTGGTCTCTGCTTTGGGACGGAGAGGAGGAGCTGCTTCCATATTTGAGAAATTGTGACGTCATATCGTTCAATTTTCGTTGCCATTGGCAGATCCCTTTCTGTCTCCTCTCAAGTTCGTCCATGGATGCGAAGTACAGCATCGTTTCTCTCGATGAAGGACAACTTACGCACAAACAAAAGCATTTCTGAGGCATTTTTTGTACCTTGATTTGTTTACTACACATACCCGTGAAAAACAAACTGACTCATATTGATAGAAAGTGCCACTGTCTCAATAGAATATTTGCATATTCACATAGTTCGCCGAGCTGATTGCTCAGGCCTTGGACTCACAGACCTGAGCGGACTTGACGAACTGCAGCTGACAGGAACGCAAGATAACGGTCAGACCAGGAGCAACGGACAGCAACTTTAATTTCACATTGACGAAAGGAAGTACAGAGTTACAACTGCCTAAAATAACTTGTTTGGATAACCTGTTTAATATAGCAGTGGTAAATAATGTGAGGTCCTGTGAGATGCTTTGAGATATGAAACTACATATTGCACAGGTTCTGATGGACTTTAATTTCACAGTGACAGAAGAAACTCCTTCTTCAAACAGTTCCTTCATTATGTCAAATAATGTTTTTGTATAGTACTGGTCTTTGAGACGCTAGGAGCCTTCAAAAGCAAAGGAAATAAAAATTTAAGATGCATTGAGGATACCAGCAAATGGCAAGTATAAATGGGTTTTACTTTCCGTTCTTGCAATTGAGTATTTTCCAATGCTCCTACGACCTGTTCCATACATCAGCTGAAGAGGATGTACAGTTCTGTGAAAGTACTTTTGACGCCCCCTTCTAATTCATTCAGATGATCTATGAACTGGTCACTCTTAACTGACAGGCAGCTGGGACAGGAAGCAGGGTCCTGCTCTCTCCACCTGGACACATACTGGGGACAAAGCTCACAGTTAACATCAACCTCAGATTCCCACAAATTGCCCCATAAAATATTCCACATGTATTTCATTGATAACGTTTCCTGAAAATGTATTTTCCAATTGTTAAGATGAGTGCTGAATCTTGCCCAGGTATATAATGTGCATATTTGAGTAAACAAAACTTCAAGGACTTAAGTAAAGGATTTTACTTAAAGTAAAAGACACTGAAAGGTCATGTATGACTAAAAAGTCTGCTGCTTTGTTCTTTTGCCCTTTACATACAAACTTCAGCATGAAGTTTATATAATTAATAGGTATTTCTGGCAATACGAGCATGCTTTTATCGTTTTTGACCTTATTTCACAAACAATGTCAGATGTCAAAGGGGCTGTTTTCAAGAAGTTTCCAGCTGCACGAGGAAACAGAAACACTCTGGTTTCTCCTTTGTTACATACTCAAATATTTCAATAGAATATTTTTGCTAATTTTTTTATCTACAAATCAACATGTATATGATCTCTTCCATGCACAGTATACTCCCATTTGCTGCTCAGTCCATATCCTTTATGTAGGCATAACTAAGAGAAGGAAAGCGCTCTCAGATGCTGTCTGCGAAGTGACTGTGGTGGTCACATAATACATTTTTTATAAAAGCGTCAATAAATCATGATGGAAATATCCATTTTTATGAGATAATAATCACAATTTTATTTTTATTAATATTATCATATTAATACTTCCATATTAATAATAAAAATGTGATTAATCACTCAGAAAATATTAATAAAAAAGCAGTATTTATCATTATTATTATTATTATATTAATATTAATAAAATTGTGATCATTAGTGCAGAAAAAATGGATAATTCCGTAATTACTTATTGATGGTTTTATAAAAAATAAATGAATAACAACCCAGAAACTGTTATTTTGACCCACCAGTTTTCTCCCACAAAATAGGCATGATTGGCAACTTTGGGGGTCGATTAATAAAGATCGATACAGTAGAATGAGCTGATCATGAGGATGCCCATACCTGGGCACTCCCACTGTATGAATCAGTTGGTGTTTTGCTCAAACTATTTGATTTGTCTGTGCTACAGGCCCTCAAATGTGGTGCCGCAAGCCATTTTCCCCGATTTTCCTCCGACAATAGGCATGATGGCAAATTTGGTGGTTAATTTCTAAACATCTATACCGTGGAATCAGCTGATCTTGGGGTTGCTGACAGCTGGGCACAACAGGCCCTCAAACATGGCCCTCAAGCAATGTTTCTCCCTCTACAATAGGTATATGTGGCATGTTTGGTGGTCAAATAATAAAAATCTATGCAGTAGAATGAGATGATCTTGAGGTTGGTAATGGCTGGGCATTCCCACTGTATGAATCAGTTGGTGTGTTGCATAAACTTTCTGATTTGGCTGAGCGACATGCCCTCAAAGCTGGTACCACAAGCCGTTTCCCCCTATGCAATAGGTATAACTGGCAACTTTGGAGGCCAATTAATAAAAATCTATAAAGTAGAATGAATCGATCTTGAGGTTGCCGACAGCTGGGCACTCTCCCTGTATGAGTCATTTGGTGTTTAGCACAAACTATTTATCTTGGCTGAGCTACTGGCTCTCAAATGTGGCTTCGCTAGCCATTTTGCCATTTACAACGGGAAATATTTTAAAGTTTAATGGTCAATTAATAAAAATCTATACAATAGAGTCACTTAGTGTTGATATTGCCTACACCAAGATGAATCGGTGAACGACCTAGTTCAGTTTCAGTCCGTGAACTGACCGACCACTGTACGATTCAGCCGAGGCTTGTCCTTTGCCATCAACAAATGTGCACAACACAGTATTAAGCAAGCGCTCAATAGTAGCACGAGCGGCCGTTGAGTGCACATACTGAACGTTTGCAATTGATTGCCCAAAGCATCATACTGCCTCCGCCGACTTGCCTTCTTGCCATAGTGCATCCTGGTGCCATGTGTTCCCCAGGTAAGCGACGCACACGCACCTGGCCATCCACGTGATGCAAAAGAAAATGTGATTCATCAGACCAGGCTACCTTCTTCCATTGCTCCATGGTCCAGTTCTGATGTTCATGTGCCCATTGTTGGCGTTTTCGGCAGTGGACAGGGGTCAGCATGGGCACCCTGACTGGTCTGAAGCTATGCAGCTCCGTATGCAACAAACTGTGATGCACTGTGTGTTCTGACACCTTTCTATCAGAACCAACATTAACTTTTTCAGCAATTTGAGCTACAGTAGCTCGTCTGTTGGATCGGACCGTACGGGCCAGCCTTTGCTCCCCATGTGCATCAATGAGCCTTGGCCACCCATGACCCTGTTGCCGGTTTATCCCTTTTCCTTCCATGGACCACTTTTGGTAGGTACTGACCACTGCAGACCAGGAAGCAGACAAGAGCTGCCGTTTTGGAGATGCTCTGACCCAGTCGTCTAGCCCTCACAATTTGGCCCTTGTCAAAGTCACTCAAATCCGTAAGCTTGCCCATTTTTCCTGCTTTGAACACATCAACTTTGAGGACAAAATGCTCACTTGTTGCCTAATATATCCCACTCACTGACAGGTGCCATGATAAGGAGAACAGTGTAATTCACTTCACCTGTCAGTGGTCATAATGTTACAGCTGATCGGTGTATGTCCTATCTGTGTTATTCAGTAGTTCATTCATTGTTCATTATATACTATAAATAACAGTATGTTGAACAATAGATCAATATTAAAGTGAGCCAAAACTGTCTATTTCATTGTGACCACACGAAATCCACCCCCAATCCCCCTAAATCTTAAACAAAGGGGGCCACCTGGAAGCATGACACTCCTGGGCTTCAAATCACCTCAGGATGAAGAAAAGCCCAAAAACTGCCAAAACAAGCCTGACATCAGCACCCCTGCGAAGGGCAATAATGCCATGATTTGGATTTGAACCGGGGGTTGCTGTGGCCACAACGCAGAGTATTAACTACTGTACAATCATGGCTTATTTTTTATGCAGTAGCCAGGTGTGGCTTTAGCTCTTTGTTCACAGTTGAGCCAACGTTAGATCTAGAGAAGGCCATTCAATTTAAGCTCCAAACAATGCAGGCTCTGAAGAGAACCATCTCTAATGGGAAACCATGCATGGCCACAGGAGGTTCCAACTATAACATTTTTGCTTTGATGCTTTCACAAGGCACCAAAACCTGGATCTATCAAGAATGTCATCTAGGTGTAAGTACAGGTAAGCACAACCTGCAGGGCATTACTGCCTGTCGCACCTCCGACGGTGCCAGTGGGCCTGCTGCAGGGTCGTCAGCCGGGAGCCACCCCTCACTGATGTTTCGCCCCTTTAATCCCGGAACATCTCAGGGTGGTGGGGCAGTGTCAGGACGCGTCTCCCTGCCACTCCCTGCAGCTGGCTTACGAATCCTTCCCCACGCTCTGTCCTTGTTTTATTGTAATTGCGAATGTGGAATGAACCCCGAGGGACTATGCATGGCAGGGGCGCCCATTTCCCTGAGCCAGCTGTAGATCTGACCGCATACCGAATTGACTTGGGGGTCCTAAACTCCTTGCTTCCCCCATGCTCCGTCTCTTCTTCGGAGCCAGAGCCAAAAACTGCCTTGTTCTGCCTCCTCTGCCAGGTCCTTGAGAGCTTTCCTCAGCTTGGATCCGGTGATTCCCAGGGACACCATGAGCCGCTGGGTGGAGGTTCCAGCGAAGCCTCTGCACCCGATTTCTGCTGGAAAGACGGTAGCCTTCCACCCTGCTTGTTGACATGCAGCTACGAGGTCGGTGTACTTCTCCTTCTTCCTCTCGAAGGCAGCAGCCATCCCCTCCTCCCAAGGGACTGTCAGCTCTCCCATGATGACTGTCCGTGTGGGGATGGACCAAAGGACGATATCTGGCCGGAGGGTGGTAGGTGTGATGACCTGAGGGAACTTTAGCTGCCGGTCAAGGTCAGCTCCCATGTTCCACTCGCCTCCGGGGGAAAGAAGGGACCGCTGCTTTACGCTGCTGATCTGATTTGCACCTCCTTGCTGGACGAACTGGATCCGCTGCTGGGACTTTAGGGGGCTGGCGTTGTTGGCCTCTAGCCTGCGTACCTCAAGGATTTCGGCTAGCTTGCGTAGCACTTTGTCATGGCGCCATCTGTACTGGCCCTGCGTCAGCGCCACCTTGCACCCAGAGAGGATGTGCTGCAGACTTGGGTTGCTAGAGCTGCAGAGCTGGCATGTCTCCTCCGTGCCATACCACAGGTGCAGGTTTCGGGGACTGGGAAGAGTGTCGTACGTGGCCCTTATGGCGAAGCTCAGCCTTGCTTGGGGCATTCTCCACATATCGGCCCACGTGATGGTTCTGCCGACGACCGCCTCCCACGTCGTCCATCTCCCTTGTTGTTGCTGGCTGACGGCTTTGATTTTGTAGCTCTCCTCTTCGACCTTGACAACTTCAGAGATCACCAGATCTTTCCTTTCCTTCCTTGAAGCCTTAGACCACATCTTGGGTGCAGGTCCCCATCCGAAACCAGACCTGCCTTGTTGCTGTAGCCCGACAATTTCTTGATGTTTCAGGCGGGTAATAGCCTGGTCGACGGCCTTAGCAGCGTCCCACTTGCGTCCTGTGCGAACTTGGGGCTTGGCGTTTTGAACAGATGGGTCCGGTGAGTCCCTAAGTTCGAAGACGAGTCTCACCTTCTCCTGTCTGTAGCCCAAGCTAATAGACTTCAAGGGGAGCTTCAGCGCAGTTCTCCCAAATAGCGCTGTGGTGGAAAGGCATCGGGGAAGACCCAACCACTTTCGGATGTAGTTGTTGGCTTTTGAGTCCAGTTTCTGGGCTGTAGAAAGGCTGATGTCACAGAGCTTGAGGGGCCACATCAGGCGCTGGTACAGGGTGAATTGGTAGCACCAGACCTTGTATTTCCCTGGCAGGAGGCTCCGGTCGATCTTGCCTAGACCTTCCAGGAGCTGCGCACCAACCGAGGCAGCCATGTGTTTGTCTGACAAGTCGGCTGTGTACAGCCTTCCAAGGCTCCATACCGGTTGGTCCACTAGCAGCGGGATCTTCTCGCTGCTGACTGAGAAGGAGATGTTGTCGTTCCGGACGCCTTTTCTGATGGAGAGACTTCGGGACTTAGCAGGCTTTATCCTCATCCGGGCCCATGTTAGTAGCTCTTCAATCCTTTTCAGGAGTCTGGCTGTGCATGCTGATGTCTGAAGGAGGGTAGTAACGTCATCCATGTAGCTCCGGACAGCTGGGAGTCGCTGGCCTGACTGGGATCTGATACCTCTGACCATCTGTCTTCCACCAATCAGGATGACCTCGAATGCTGCTATGAAAAGGATGGGGGAGATGGAACAACCCATCGCTATCCCTTTCTCCAGACGATGCCAGCCAGTTGAAGTCTCCTGGGTGGTGTAACAGACGTGGAAGTTGTCGAAGTACCTCGCTACAAGACTCTGGATTTGTGGTGGTATATGGAAGAAATCCAGGGCGAAATGGATGAGCTGATGGGGAACAGACCCGTAGGCATTTGCGAGGTCTAGCCAGACCACATGCAAGTCAGACTTGTTCTGCTTTGCTGACTGGATCTGTTCCCAAATCATAGCTGAGTGCTCCACGCAGCCAGGAAAGCCGGGGACGCCTGCCTTCTGGCAACTGGTGTCCACATAGTTGTTCGCCAAGAGGTAGCTGGTCATGCGCTTTGCCATCACCGAAAAGAAAATCTTCCCCTCCACATTCAATAAGGCTATGCCTCTGAATTGGTTGATGTCACAGGAGTCTTTCTCTTTGGGGATGAAGGTGGTGACTGCTCTGCTCCACGCTGGAGGGATGGACTGGGTTCTCCAGGCAGTGCACATTAGCCTCCACAATAGCTTCAGGGTCCTGGGGCAGTTTTTGTAGACCCTATATGGCACGCCATTTGGTCCTGGCGCGGAGGCAGCTCTTGCTCGCTCTACTACTTGCTTAACTTCAGCCCATTTGGGCGGAGAGGTGTCAAACAGCGAGGTTGGTTCTGGTGGGCGGGGGACATGCCCTGGTGATCCGAGGGGTATCTCCTTCAGACTGTCCCTGAGCTGGTCTTTGATGTGTTCTTCAAGCTCCTGCTCAGAGGCCTGTAGCATTCCCGATTTCTTTTCCTCGAGCAAACCTCGGGCATACTTGAAAGGATCTCGGAAGAAGTTGGCCCTTGTTTTCACTTTGAGGTTCCTGCGTTTCCTGATCCGCTCAGCTCGCCTAAGGTGGGTTAGGCTGCTTCTGACTTGGCTCCAGAGGTTCTGGAGACCATCCTTCTCCTCTCCCTCCGCCCTCCTCCATGCCTTCCGCAAAAGACGTCGCTCCTTTACCAGCTTGAGGATTTCACTCTCCGTCTTCCCATCTGCCTTGGGGTGGTATTTTTCGAGGCATCTCCCAAATCTTCCCCTACCTTCTTCGTAGATGATGTGGCCGAAGATGTTCAGCTTGGATGTTGTGTTGCCCTTTAGGGTGCCATGGAGGATTGTGTGCAGGGTCTCATCGAAACTACTCCACCCGGCTTTGTCGCTGGCTTTTGGCCACTTGATCTTAGGTTTCCGGGCTGGCTTCTCCATAGTTCCAATGGTGGACTCCCTGATTGGTTTTCTGGTCTGATACGCCTCCTGTGGGGTAGGTTGCAGCTGTTGTGAATCCTGTTGGGAAGGGAGAACATGGGCACTCCCGCTAGATGCAATGGTGGAATCAGTAGCACTTTGGTGCTCGACCTGGCTCTGCCTCCTCCTTGTCTGACCTGCTTGCGCAGTGCAAGTTTGCATGGCTGTTGCCTCCACATTTCTTCTTCCCCTGGTGGATCCGCAGGCCCTGGTAGGTGGTAATCTTGGACCAACCACAGCTGCACTCTCTCAGGATCCGTTGTTCCTTGGTCATTTCCGTTCCAGTCGTTACCATGTTGTCCGTCCTGATTAGTCCATCTTCCATCCCGCCTCTCGGTGGACTGCGGGGCTGTCTTTTCCTTGAAATACTCGTAGTTAGTTTGGGGGTCCCCGTAGCAAATGCTGCGAGGACATGTGTCAGGGGTAACTAGCCCCCTCCACCCCCGGTGCAGTCTTTCCTGCCGTCAGCCAGACTTCCCTGGCAGCCTACCGGTCTTTCCCGGATGCCAACTGCTCTATTCTCAGTAGTCACTGGCGAGCCAGACTATCTAGGTGTAAGTACAGGTAAGCACAACCTGCAGGGCATTACTGCCTGTCGCACCTCCGACGGTGCCAGTGGGCCTGCTGCAGGGTCGTCAGCCGGGAGCCACCCCTCACTGATGTTTCGCCCCTTTAATCCCGGAACATCTCAGGGTGGTGGGGCAGTGTCAGGGACGTCTCCCTGCCACTCCCTGCAGCTGGCTTACGAATCCTTCCCCACGCGATCTAAACAAGCTCATACTCAAAAATGGTTACTGAAAGAGCCAAAATTGCTTCCCCATCGGCTTCTCTCCAAATGTTAAGCATTTGTTAAGAGTGTTACAGGTTTCCTTACACCGTGTCAACATTATTTGCTTATGTTAAAATAAGAGGAAGTCAAGCACTTGTTTGCTGTTGTACATTTTTTTTATTAAATCATCATAGTGAGCCAGCAGTCTTAAACACTGTACCCTCTTGTTCATTTTAAAATGTGGGTCACTAAAACAGCAACCAGTGGTTACACATGCACAGAATCAGTTATTTCATTACATAAGGTTCTGTGATATTCGATATGTTTCAGTTTTAATTTTCCCATAGTCCTTTTTCTTGCTTTAACCTGTTTTAACCATAGTATTTATACAGCTGGATCTTAATCAGTGTAATTTTGCTAAATGCCTCTAGACATGACATTTCTGTGGTTGTTGCTTTTTCAACTAATTCCAAATTTATTAACTGAACTCATTCCAGTTTTTTGGGGGGCAAGTAGTCAGAGTTTTCCAAATAAAAGAACTCAGATCCTCAGTAGGGCTCTAAACTTGAGCAAGATGCCAGCAGTAGGGGTGTGAAACTGTAA